AGTTAGAAGTGTCTTTCTGTGTAGAAACATAAACAGTTTAACCTAATTAAGTGCCTTATGATTTCTGTTTCCTCTTTACCTACTTATGCTTCTCTTGAGTCTTATATTTGTATATTCAGATCTGCTTTTTTCACCAAGAATGCTTGAAAGTCTCATTGAAGACTCATCTCATTGAATGTCCATTTTTCCTTCTGAAGGATTATACTCAGTTTTGCTAGGTAGGTGATTCTTGCTTGTAATCCTAGCTCCTTTGCCCTTCAGAATATCATAGTCAAAACCCTCTAATCCTTTAATGTAGAAGCTGCTAAATCTTGTGTTATCCTGACTGTGGCTCCCCTGTACTTGAATTGTTTCTTTCTAGCTGCTTGCAATATTTTCTCCTTGACCTGGAAGCTCTGAAATTTAGCTATAATATTTCTTACATTTTTCATTTTGGGATCTCTTTCAGGAGGTGATCAATGGATTCTTTCCATTTCTAATTTACCCTTTCATTCTGGAATATCAGGGCAGTTTTCCTTGAAAATTTCTTGAAAGGTGATGTCTAGGCTTTTTTTTTTATCGTAGCTTTCAGGTAGACCAACAATTTTAAAATTACCTCTCCTGGATTTATTTTCCTGGTCAATTATTTTGCAGTGAGATACTTCACATTGTCTTCTATTTTTTCATTCTTTTGATTTTGTTTTATTGTTTCTTGATTTCTCATAAAGTCATTAGCTTCCATTTGCTCCATTATAATTTTTTAAGGAATTGTTTTCTTCAGTTAGCTTTTGTACTTCCTTTTCCATTTGGTCAATTCTGCTTTTTAAAGCATTCTTCTCTGCATTTGATTTTTGTACCTCTTTTGCCATTTGGCCTAGTCTGCTTTTTAAGGTGTTATTTTCTTCAGTATTTTTTGAGTCTCCTTTACCAAGCTGTTGACTCGTTTTTCATGATTTTCTTGCATCACTCTCATTTCTCTTCCCAGTTTTTCCTCTACCTCTCTTACTTGATTTTCAAAATCCGCTGAACTCTTTCATGGCCTGAGACCAATTCATATTTTTCTTGGAGGCTTTGGATATAGGAGTTTTGACTTTTTTATCTTCTTCTGAATGTGTGTTTTGATCCTCTGTGTCACCATAATAACTTTCTGTGGTCAGAATTTTTTTGTTGTTTGCTCATTTTCCCAGCCTATTGCTTGACTTTCTAACTCTTTGTTAAATTAGGGCTCTGCTTCCAGGGTGGAAGGCACACTGTCCCAAGATTCAGGGGTTTTGTGCAGCTGTTTTCAGAGATACTTCTAGGGATCTGTAAGTTTTCAGTTCTTCCAAGGTGGCATGTATTTACTACTCTCCTCACAGTTTAAGTATCACAAAAATATAATCAGGATCACACAAAGCTTGGCAACTGCTATTTGATGAAGGAAGATCTTGGAATATAATATTCCAAAACCAAAACAGAGAAGTTTACAACCAAGAACAACTTACCTTATAAAGCTGAGTATAATCCTGTAGGGGTAAAATTTATACTTTTAATGGAATAGAAGACTTTTAAGCATTTCTAATGAAAAGAGCAAACTCAAATAAGAGTACTGAAATACAAACACAGAAGCCCAGAGAATCCTCAAAATGTAAATTTGAGCATTTAGAAGGAACTGTAAGATGATGGAATGTTAACATTCTAATAGGAGAAGAATAAACAAGTGCTCCTTCAAAATTTAATGTCTTCAAAAGGGTATTGAGGGAGTTATACTACCTAAGAAAAATGGAGGTGGGGAGTACTGGTTCTATTCTGAGGATTTTAAGATGGCAAAGAGAAGGTAGGGTAAAATGGATGTACTAGTGTAAAAATGGGAAGAAGAGTGTTGAACTTGCTATTTCTCATAATTGAAATGTGTGATAGAAAGAGTATACAAACATGGTGGAAGGAGGAAGGGGAAGGAGCATCAAATAAGGTTTACTCTTATATGAAATGGACAAAGAGTTGAACACAAAGAGTTTGATGTAAAACAACAACAAACTTAGCAGGGAAAAAAAAGTGTGACTAATAGGGCTAGAAGGCTAAAAATGAGGTAATGCCAAGGAAGAAATAGTCCCAGCAAAATAAACTTAGTGATCATAAAAAGAGAAGGTATAAAAGGACAAAAAAAAAAGAACTAGAATCTAAGGATGTGAAATGTCTTAAATTTCAACTTTAAAAGATTTAAGAACTCTGAATAATGCAGTGACTAGCCAGTAGACCTATAAAGAGTTGCAGAGACATTTTTTATGATGACCACTGTATAGATTCATTTCTATGTAGATTCATTGACTGTGCTTTTTTATTACAAGTCCTCTTTCCTCTTTCTTTCACTCAGTCTTTTATTTAGGAAGAAGGGACAGGAGGGGTTAGCACTAGTGATGCAAAACAAAAAAAAAGTGGGAGAAGGGGAATCCTTGTAAAAATATTTAATGTGCAAAGGACTGAACAGAAGGAAATTCAAAATAAAGCACAGAAAAGCTAGAAAATTCTGAAAGGAGTGTGTAGAATTTATTTTATACTTTTATAAAAAGCAAGAAGATAAAAAATAGAGATTCATGGTTTCATATGGAATTCCTTTTTTGTAGTCTGCTGTGTGTGGAAATTCTCTTTTTTCAGGGTGGGTCATCTAAATTCAGCATAAAAAAATAAATTTTTTAACTTTTCATCTCATAAAACCTTTTAAACCTTGCGTTTTATCACCATAGCCTTTGAGAACACAAGATCACTTCTATACCAGGATGACTCATTACAGTTGGACTTTTATAAAAGATTATATGCTTCTAGTATGGCTAATCAATACCTATTTATTTCCTAGCTGTTTTATGAGACATTCATAGAAACTATCTAAGCCAGGGTAGAAGTTTCCACAATGTGGCATCAATTTTTCTTTAATTGACCTTGGTCCTTATAAAACAATATCCATTCTAGGGAAGAATTTATAACCAAACAAGAGACCATTATGAAATACAAAAGGTGTAGTTTTGATTACATTAAATTTAAAATGTTTTGTGCAAACAAAGCCAATGCAACCAAGATTAGAAGGAAAGCAGAAAGCTGGGAAACAATTTTTACAGCCAGTGTCTCTGATAAAGTCCTCATTTCTAAAATACATAGAGAACTGAGTCAAATCTATAAGAATACAAGTCATTTCCCAATTAACAAGTGGTCAAAGGATATGAACAGGCGATTTTTGGATGAAGAAATTAAAGCTGTCTATAGTCATATGAAAAATGCTCTAAATCACCATTGATTAGAGAAATGTAAATTAAAACAACTCTGAGGTACCACATCACACCTATCAGATTGGCTAATATGATACAAAAAGAAAATGATAAATGTTGGAGAAGTAGGAAATTGGAACACTAATGTGTTGTTGGTGGAGTTGTGAACTGATCCAACAATTCTGGAGAGCAATTTGGAACTACGCCTAAAGGACTATAAAATTGTGCATACCCTTTGATCCAGCTATACTACTACTAGGTCTGTATCCCGAAGAGATCATAAAAATGGGGAAAAGACCCACATGCACAAAAATATTTATAGAAACTTTTTTTGTGGTAGCAAAGAATTGGACATTGAAGAGATGCCTATCAATTGGAGGATGGCTGAACAAGTTGTGGTATATAAATGTAATGGAATACTATTGTTCTATAAGAAATAATGAGCAGGCAGATTTCAGAAAAACCTACAAAGACTTGCATGAACCGATGCTGAGTGAAGTGAGGAGAACCAGGAGAACATTGTACACAGTAACAGCAACATTGTGCAGTGACCAACTTTGATAGACTTTTTTCAGCAACACAATGATCCAAGACAATTCCAAAAGACTCATGATGGAAAATCCACATCCAGAGAAAGGACTATGGAGTCTGAATGCAGATCAAAAGCATACTATTTTCTCCTTTTCTGGGGTTTTTTTTTCTCTTGGTTTTTCCCTTTTGTTCTGAACCTTCTTTCACAACATGACTAATATGGAAACATGTTTAATATGATTGTACATGTATAGCCTATATCAGATTGCATGCCATCTTGGAGAAGGAGGAAGGGAGAAAAAATTTGGTAGTCAAAATCTCATAAAAGTGAATGTTGAAAACAAAAAATAAATAAATATATTTTTATAAAAAAGAATATTCTTGCTAAAGAAATTTGACCAAACTATGAGTCCTCAAAGAGGAGCTGGAAAATGATTACAAGTCAAGGGAGGGGACTGGGAGAATCATATCACAATAAATAATATGAATTGAAGGTCAATGGTATATCCTTCTCTTAACTCTCTGGCTAAGAAGGTAGGACATAATACAGGCAGTTAGGAAATAAGAGTCATTGATCTTGGAACTTCTGGTCTCAAAGCCTGATGTCTAAACATTAAGATTTGGGAAAAGGCATATTCTACTTTCTTTGTCATCTTCCATGCAGCAATTTGTGGATTTCCCTGATAGGAACAGAAATGTAGAGTAGATGTAGGTACCTCAGAGGCTGTCTGTTCCAACCCCCTCATTTTACAGATGATGAAACCAAGATCAAAAGAGGTTAACCAACATGGCCAAAATTGCATAGGCATTAAGAGTCAGATGTGGATTTGAATCCACTGGCTCTGCAAGTGCCCTTTTTGCTATATTACATTCTCTCTTCATTGATAATTTAGCTGAAAAGATAAAAGAAACAGGAAACCCTGGAAGTACATGGTTCACTTTAAACATTCAAAAAATAGTAATTTCCTGCTCCACATAATCCCATTGGATTGGAATTTTTATTTAACACTGACCTGACCAGGCTGTTTAGAGAATGCATGCTAGAGTAACTTTAGCTTACTGCCATAGCCCAGTTTCATAGATCTTGTTCACTCCGTGTGCTGCATTAGAGTTGTCCCTTTAGCCTTCGGAGAGGTTAGTGGCCCTTAGAATAATATTTATTCTTCCCAAGCATAATCATCCCTCAAGGAGAGGGATTACATCTTATTATATGATTCATACTGACTGACCATTGTGGCTTCCCCATCCTAGGTAACATAGAAGAGTTCCTCTTGAATGGTAGACTGTGTAGTGACCGATGCCTCATTGCAGTTGACATTGATTCCCAAAAAAATAAGACAAAGATCACTGCTCTTTTCAACAATCAGGCATACCATTCACCTGCAGTAGCCTTGGCATTAGTGGACAACATCCTCCTCATGTCGCATTCTGGTAGTCGGGCTTCTATTAAAGTCACCAATAAGCCTCAACCTTGAAGTGCTATCAAAGCTGCAAGGGAAAAATACCATAAGTATGTATCATACTTCTCTGTCCTTGTCTTATGGTTTTCAAACCATTAACACTTCTTCTGTCCTAACATTTTGTACATTTAAATATCATACTGTGGAAGGTGGCTCCTGATATGAATCAGTCTTCCCTGCTATCAGTCTCCTGGGCCATACTGATATGTCTCCATATCCCTCTCCTACAGGGGCAGTCGTGGACATGAAATTGCCTTCAGTTTGTTCTTTGGTATGGCTGCCTTGGCCAGTAGTTTTTGTCTCTTGACAGTCACCGAGAGAGTTATTAAGGCAAAGCACCTCCAATTTGTGAGTGGTGTACGAATTATTAATTTCTGGCTCTCTGCCTTTTTTTGGGACCTCTTCAACTTTATCATTCCTTGCCTCCTGCTGCTGGTGAGTATAGGACAAGTGTGAGTGTATGTGTGTGTGTGTGTGTGTGTGTGTGTGTGTGTGTGTGTGTGAACATCCATTAGTCCAGGGTAGAACTTCGCCTTCAGACAATACTGCTCTGTTCTTGAATCTAGCCACAAAGGCTAAGGCTAGCCAGAGTGGCTCCTGCTGCTGGGAAACTGCCTTCTGAGCAGCCTCTCCATCCCCTCCCTAAGTAGAAGAAAGTTGACTTCCTGATGTTTTGGTGTCTGTAGAAGTCTAGTCCTAGTCCCTTTGTTTACTGATGTGTATTAAATCACAAAGTTGATGCCCTGGACATCGTTGTGTTCATACAGCTTTCCTACTCTAATGCCTCTCTTGACAAAGAGGACAAAACAAAACTGTTACAAAAGTGAAAAGTGCTGTCTTCTTGGTGCCTTTGTTTTTCCTTTGATGAGCCAAGCTTTTTAAAGGTAGTTAAAATAGTTTGGCTAAATAGTAGTTTCATACCACTACCTTTAAAAGTGGGACTATCAGTTTCTATCTCTAGGGTTCTTAGCTGATATTCTGCTCATTCCTTAATCCATGATCCCCATCTCTGTATTTGGTCTCTTTGTTTTAGGTTGTGTTCAAATACCATGGCGTGAAAGCTTTCGTTGATGACCATTATGCAGCAGATATCTTATTAATCTTCGTGCTATATGGCTGGTCTATCATCCCCCTCGTGTACCTGATGAGCTTCTTATTTTCTGGTAGTGCCACTGCGTATGCCAAACTTGTTGTATTCAACTTCTGTTCAGGCATGATCAGTTTCCTGTTTGTCTACATGGCAGAATCTAATGGTAAGGGTGACAGCACTTACTTTTCCTCTCCCTTCAGCTGTCCTCTTCCCAAATAAGTCCTTTTTCAAGGGGAAGCAATGAATGAGTGAGGAGAAACATTTTAAGATAAGGAAATTAATAAACAGGCATTGAAAATTCATACTATCACAAATCTTGCCCAGATTGGAGCAGATGATATCTAACAATCCTTCCAAATAGATTCTGGTTCCTTGAAGACTCCAGTTGAAGCTGTAAAAATGAAGCAGAATAGATTTTAGTTTAAGAAACAAGCTAGAATGATACATTTCCTCTTAACCCCTCATCCAATGACTTATGTGACCCACTTTGGTTCTGTAAGTAGAAGTATTTTCTTCCCTGAAAAGCTTCTCAAGACAGTACTACTGACAAATATAATGAGTGATCTAAGGAAGTGCATAGAGATGATTCTTGGGTAGAAAATCTAAAATAGTTTAGTATAAGTACAGTCAATCCTCACCTTTCACAGGGGTAACATTCCTAGAAAATGACATAAAAACAAAAAATGGGAATGTTGATACTTTGAACCCATGAGAAATAGGGAGTTAAGTTCTTGTGACCACCAAAAACTGTAATCTTTCATTAGAAATTACTGAAAATACACTTTTCTGCATATAATTCTTTATAACAAAACATTAATTCTGATAACATGCACTTTTCCTAACACAGTAACCATGAAATAACCCATGAAATGCAGTACACAAAATAAAATTGGTAATATCCAAAACATTTTTCTCACTAGTAATTCCCTACAATTCTGTAATCCTTTGTGCCAACATCTCAATTTAAAAAAATAGATTTCAGACAATATTCAGTTTTCATAACATGAAATCTACAGTACCACAAATACTGTAAAGCAAATAAAATTCTCAAAACTAAAACTTTTTTTAACCTGAATCTTACCTTCTACTGTGTCAGATGGTAGTGTAAAGGCATTGCACTGTATTCTATGCTGCTGTAAACCTCTCTACCTTGGCTGTCCACCAAAAACTAAGGGGGAGATTGCTGGGACATTAGATGCTGCTATTGGAAGACACCAAGATTGGCAAGGTTTTGACATCACCTCCCAATACTCTGTCCTTCACAGCTGGGTGGATGGCATTGGAGATTGTGAAGGACGCACCAGCTGAAATAATACATCAGCTCCACAAACTTGAATGTATTGCACCTTTCATTTTTTTCTCTACTGAGCATAGCTGCAAATAAAATCATGCAAATGCTTGAATTCACAAATTTAAATGCATAGATGTTGAGGATTGACTGTATATGTTACTTCTAGCAGTATAGATTATTCACATATTTTGTAGAAGATCATTATAAACCTGGTTCATTTGTTGGAGAAACACAGAAAGGTAACACTTTTATGTAGAGAATAAGAAAGGGAGCAAAATTTCTCTACAAATAGGATTTCAATTATTTCTGATAGCACCACACCCATGTGTGTCTTATGTAAAATCAGGGTTCTAAAAGCATTTGGTCCAATAAGTTTCAAGTGGATGTGATTCAAAGGACATGATCTGTGTGTCTCAGCCACATCACTATATCTAAATGCTTCCCTCTTCCCAATCCAAATGATGAAGTACTCACAGCAACCAATTTCCCTTTTTTCTTTTTTTTTCTTTTTTTTTTTGGCTTTTAGGCAATTGGGGTTAAGTGACTTGCCCAGGGTCACACAGCTAGTAAGTGTCAAGCGTTTGGTCTGAGGCCAGATTTGAGCTCAGGACCTCCTGACTTCAGGGCCAGTGCTCTATCCACTGCACCACCTAGCTGCCCCTCCCTTTTTTTTCAAATCAGAGGTTTTTAGACCCTCTAGCCTAAAAGATAATGAACCAAGATATGCTTCTTTCCATCTCCCCCAAATGACAAATACAAACACTATTAATATAGAAAATCCTATACAAAGCAATGAAATGTAGAAAGTAGAACTAGAAGTACTAACCACAATCACGTGAAAAATATTATTCAAAAAACAGTGGCTCAGATACCTGCAAAAGGGCTGGGCAAAGATTTTGTACTTCACCCCTACCTATGTGTAGCTAGGTGTTATAGTGAATAGAATGCCAGGCCTGGAGTTAGGAAGACCTGAGTTCAAATCCAGCCTCAGACATTTACTGGCTGTGTGACCCTAGACAAGTCATTTAACTTCTGTCTGCCTCAGTTTCCTCAGCTATAAAATGGGGATGATAATAGCACCTTCCTCCCAAGGCTCAAATGAGAAAATATTTATAAAGTACTTAGCACAGTGCTTGGCACATAATAGGTACTTAGTAAATGCTTATTTCCTTCCTTGATAAATAAAACTCTGGAATGATTTACATGGACCTAGAATAGCAACCAAGGGCATGATGGGCATTGGAAGAAATGTACTTGCCCCCACTGAAATAGCCTAGTGAGTCTAAGGAATTACAACAGAAGCATAATCAAAGGAATTCAAAACAAACTTAACCTAATCCTAAAACTGCTGCTGCTATTTGGATGTGGCTCTGAGTCTAGACCAGCCCTTGTGGCTAGGATCAGCCATTGTCATTCAGCAGAGGAAATGTTGGCATAGAATATATCCAGAGCTCACAGCAAAACATAGAAAGCACAAGTGGCAGTATTAGTTGCAAGGAGGGCTTCATTCATCTTTCTATCCAGTCCTTGGAGTATGAGTTGCCTGTGTGTGTTCCCTGTGTATGCCCTCTCCCACTAATGGTGTGGGAATTTGTGGGATAGTGTATTGTTGGGTGGGGAAGAGGGATGTTCCTTATTAACTTCTTGGTCATATGTTTGATTAAATTAATAACTTTTACTTTAAAACAATATGTCCTCTTATTGATCTGGTAAGAGAAAAACATTAGTGGGAGCTATTGAACTATGGATTTGAATTGATGCAGACCTAAAATGTGCCTTGAATCTGGAATAACTTTCAGAGACCCCATTTGTGAGGAGATGAAAAAGAAAAAAAACCGTAAGCACAGCCCCTCCTCTTTAAGCTCTGATACTCATGCAGAAAGTACTGAAGGACATTCTAAATTAGGGGAAATGATAAGAGCAAAGGCTCAGAGAAAGGAGTTAGTAGGTCATATGCAGGACACCATTGGTCTGACTACAATGCAGCATTTCTTGGGTTAGGAAGCAGATGAAAGCAATCAATAATCAAACCCTTAAAATACATGATTGAAAATGTGGACTTCAGAATATAAGCAGGCAGTTCTCAGATGAAGAGACTGAAGCCATCTATAGTCATGTGAAAGAATGCCCTAGATCACTATTGATTGGAGAGATGCAGATCGGAACAGCTCTGAGGTACCACATCACACCTATCAGATTGGCCAAGATGACAAAACAGGAAGATGATAGATGTTGGGGAAGATGTGGGAAAATTGGAGCACTAGTGCATTGTTGCTGGAGTTGTGAAGTGGCCCAACCGTTTTGGAGGGCGTTTTGGAGCTATACCCAAAGGGCTATGAAAATGTGCGTACCCTTTGACCCAGTGATAGCACTTCTAGAGCTGTATCCCAGAGAGATCACACAAATGGGAGGAAGACCCACGTGTACAAAAATGTGTATAGGTGGCTCTTTTTGTGGTAGCAAGGAGTTGGAGTTTGGGGGGATGCTCATCAATTAGGGAATGGCCAAACAGGCTGTGGTGTATGGATGTAATGGAGTGCTGTTGTGCTATAGGAAATGATGGACAGGCTGATGTCAGGGGAACCTGGAAAGACTTGTATGGTCTGTTGCTAAGTAGAGTGATGAGCAGAGCCAGGAGAACGTTGTACAGTAACAGCACATTGTGCGATGACTAATGTTGATGGACTTGGCCCTTCCCAGCAATGCAGGGATCTGGGACATCTCTGGGAGCCTTGTGATGGAGAGTGCTGTCCACATCCAAAGAAATAACTGTGGAGTTTGAGTGCAGATCGAAGCCTACTATTTGCTATTTTTTTTCTTCTGTTGAGTTTTGTTTCCTCTTTCTGGTAGTTCCTCCTATTGGTTCTAATTCTTGCTTGCAACATCACTAATGTGAAAATATGTTTAGTAGGAGTGTGTATGTATAGCCTATATTGGATTGTGTGCTGTCTTGGGGAGGGTGGTGGGGAAGAAAGGGAAGAAAAATTTTAAACTCAAAAGTGATTGTTGATAAATCAAAATAAATTAATAAAAAATGGGATAGATAAAAAAAGAATGTAGACTTCACTCAAAAGGTTAGGACGACCTCTGTAAGTTGTTTTTCTTTTTAATTTTTGTTTTTTGTTTTTGTTTTTTGAAACTTGGTGATTTAATCCAAACAGTACTTGGAGAGGCATGCTAAAGGGAGGCATGCTAAGAGGCTTATAACAAGAGTCACAGACTCAATATTTAGTCAATAGACATTTACGGCCTGGGTTAGGCTTATTACTGTGTTAGGAGGGAATGAATCCAAGAGATGTTACAGAGGAAATAATAGATTAACATTTAGATAGTGTAGTGAAGAAGATAAAAAACTCAAAGAAGACCTATTAAAGTGGAAAGCCTGGGGTTCTAATTCATTATAATATGAACATTTGGACTGATCAACAAATTTGGGAGAAAGATTATGAGCCCAATTGTAATTATCAGCTGAATATCAGTCTTAATGCTTAAAGGAAGGATTTAGTCTAGGAGAGGTGATTGAAAGCTCAGCATATGTACATATGTTATACCGAGAAATGAGCGAGTTGACCACCCAAGCTAATTTTAAATTGTGGACTTTATTAGCGAGCGGCTGCCAGGGATATTCACATCCAAATCAAGCAGCCTTCATCAGGGGTCGAGCCAGGGTTTATATAGGGAGTATACAGGACAGGGAGGGGGATGGATCTTTGAAGTCTGGCAAGAGGAAGAGTTTTTTTTCAAGGACACCCCTCTCCCTCTATCTAGATATGATAATGCTCTGCAAACTTTCTCACAATGGAGGCTTCCAGAGATACGATCTGAGGGCTGTGGCCTGAGCAGCCAGATAAGGGTCTTGCTAAGGAATTTGG